ACCATCCTCCCTGACAGACTGGTGACCAAGCTATCAGTCCTGGGAGTATCCCATTCCTTGTGTCTATGGATTAAGGACTTCCTGTCTGATCGCCCCCACTATACGCCCTCAACACCTATGATCTCGTCCCCGCCCACACCAGCAACTCCATCATAAAGTTAACTGATGATACCAACGTGGTGGGCTGTATCTCAGGGGGTGACGAGACCGCGTACATGGACGAGGTGGAGCAACTGTTAGCGTTGTGTAAAATAAACAACCTGCAGCTGAACAAGCTGAAAACCCAGGAAATTATCATTGACTTTAGGAGGAAGAAGACCGACATGCAGCCCTTGTACATTGATGGAGGCTGTGTGGAGAGAGTCTCAGTTATCAAATTCCTGGGCGTTCACCTGGCGGAGGACCTGTCCTGGAGGACCAACACCACGGCAACCGTCAAGAAGGCACAGCAGAGACTCTACTTCCTGAGAATACTCAGGAATTACTACCTCAGACAGGACCTGCTTGTGTCCTTCTATCGCTGCGCCGTGGAAAGCATCCTCACCTACTGCATCTGCGTGTGGTTCCTCAGCTGCACAGCCGCAGAGAGGGGTGCGCTCCAAAGGGTCATCAACTAGGCCCAGAAGATCATCGGTTGCCCCCTCCCCTCCCTGGAGGTACTGTACAGCTCTCGTTGCCTTAAGAAGGCAGTCAAAATCCTCAAGGATCCACACCACCAGGGTAACAAGCACTTTGTACGGCTGCTCTCAGGCAGGCGCTTCTGTACCATGTATTCCCGGACAAACAGACTCAACATTTTCCCCAGGGCCATATGTGCACTAAACGCTGCTAATATTTAAATTATATAAGTCTTCCGTGCAATACGAGGGGAATCGTGCAATTTAATTTAATATTTATTTATGTACATATTCCCTATCATGTCTATTTAAGTCCCATTTCTTGTTTTTATAGTGTCCTGTTGTTTTTATATTGTCTTGTTGTTTTTATATTGTCTTGTTGCGTGTTGGTACCTTGAGTTCATTGTAATTTCGTTGTGCCTGTACAATGACAAATTAAAGATCTATTTATCTATTAAGAATGTTGGCTTTTTCAATTGAGAAAAAAGTCGGTCCCATAACAAGGGTTTTACATTTTTATAGAAAATGAATCAACAAAATGATAGCCCATCCTTGCATTTTATTTAACTCAGCTGATGTCACAGTGCAGCATGTGGCTCCAAGTTGACGATAATAAAATTAAACATAGCAGCTACTACTTCCAGGAAATACATTCTCAAAATGGTTGCCAAACCAACATAATTTGAGATGAATTCAGTTTATTATAATCTTCAGAGAGCATCTGACTCACAAACTCGTCATCCTCCACTGCTGCAGAAATTATAATCTGTTCAAATTCAACAAAGACACACTGTGTGTCCATATTTGACCTCCATTTTAAATGTTCCTGTTACTCAGCTGTAAAAAAAGTTGTAATTCATTTTTGTTTTAATGTTGTGTCAAGTCCCATAAGACATATACGATTGATAGCAATTTGCAAACCAATGTCAAATTCCCTGCAAAAATTTAGGCAATCTAATAATTGTTTCAATTATTTATTAAACAAAACAGGTTCAATTTGTTCTATTTCCAGGCTAGCAAGTATGAGGTTTTGCTATTTTTGTGTTTTATATATTTATTTTATAATAATTTGTTGGACTTAAATTAAGGCTGGACAGCTTAAAACACATTATTGTAGATGTATTAATATTTAAAACTATAATTTGCCCCCCTTAAAATTTTAAGAAAACGTCCACACATTGTCTTCATTGAACATGACCTTTTTATAAAAGTATTTATCTTTATTTAGTGACTCCTGAAGAAACAAGGATTCAGTATAGCATGAATCCACAATTTAAACACGTAATCCATCAGATGACAAACCGAACTTCCGAAGAGAGAGCTTCTTTATTGCACCATAGAAATCATTTCTGTACACTTGTGAAACAGGGAGAGGTCCGAGCATTGGTCACGCGTCGTGTATTGATAAGCTTCCGCCCTGACTGAGCTGTGTGTGTGTGTCAGAGTGTGAGTCAGAGTGTAAGGATGAAGATCGCCGTGCTGGGAGCCACGGGACAGACCGGACAGTATCTGGTCAACCAGGCGCTGCAGCAGGGCCACACCGTAACCGCCATCGTCAGGAACCCCGCCAAACTCACCGTGCATCATGATAACCTCAAGGTATGTGGAACCAATGGGTGGTAGTCGTTGTGTTGTGCTGCTGCTCCGTGCATGTCGGGCTCAAAGTTCAGTCACAAAATAAATGATAAATGTTTTATCATGTCCAAAGGAGGGTTGTATGAGGTAAAACATGTGCTGCTTATGTTCCTTAACATAAGCCAAAACAACTTTTACATGTGGGTGTGTTACTGTGCACACAGGAAGGTGGAGCACTGCCAAGATAAAAAGCCCAGTGTTATTTTATTTTGCATTACTCTGAACAAATCCCATTAAAAGCCCAAATAATAACAGTTTACTTAATATTAGCTATTGAGTATTGGCTGACACATGTAATTCTTCTGAGCCAAAGAACTGTGTTATTGGCTATTACTTGTCTTACTACTTTTAAATCCAGGCTGAAGACTTTTCTTTTTGCCGCTGCTTTTAATTGAACTATTCATTTCATATCTTAAACCGCACTGTAATCTTTATTCATGTATTTTTTCTTTTAATGTTTATTTTTATTATCTTTGCTTTTAATGACTGTTTTCAAATGCCATTTTCTTAATGTCTTTCCTTTTTGTAAAGCACTTTGAATTGCCCTGTGTTGAAAGGTGCTATATAAATAAACTTGCCTTGCCTATTAAAAACACTTTAATGATCTACACTGTTGACCCTGTTATGCACCATCCAAATATTCCCCAACAAATGCTTTTTATTCTTCTATTTTATAAGATTTTTGCAAACAGTTACTGTACAGTGCCACACCCAAGCTAAGAAATAATACAACAAGTGAATAAAGATGGACAAAATGGACATGATATAGATAAAGCCTCAAATAAATCCATCAGCAGGATTGAAAAAAGTAAAATTCACCTCAGTCATTATTTTTGTTTCCCTGCTTCTAGGTGGTGGAGGCTGATATTTTCTCAGCAGACAGTCTGAAGACTCACTTCAAAGGACAGGATGTGGTCATGTCCTGCCTCGGCTTCCCGGCCTCCTTCTTCTCTGGGGTTTCAGGCTACACCTTGTCAATGACCAGCATGATCAGCGCCATGCGAGAGGCCCGGGTCAACAAGATCATCACCATGACCTCCTGGTACACAGAGCGTAAGTGCAGTACACGTAATGATGCATTGTAAGATTAAATAATAAAATAAGTCCACCGTATCAATGTCCTAGGAGTGGTTTTGTTTTGATAAACTGTAATCTATTTCTGTTTATCATTCTCAAATTAACTTCAGATATCAAGTGTTAAAGTGTGGATTTCAATCAAGCCTTCATAGATAAAATGATTGTTTATTATTTTGTTCAGATTTGGATAAAACTTCAAGAAAGAAACTCAGAGAGATCCTAGTATGGCCACTGCCTCTTTATATTTTGTATATTGGTTTTACATTTGTTTTTTGATTTTCATTGGAAGAACAGGGCATGTACTGTAACTTTAAATTCTAATTTAGAATTTTAAGCACAAAAAACTGCAATTAGAGCTTAAATACAAGGTTTTGTTCCGTTGACATTATTTGTAGAATGTAAGAGGATAATTTCACAGTTTTTTCTTTCTTGTTGATGTTAGCTAACTCTGGAGCGCAGTCATCTTTTCTGATTCGATTCCTCCTGCTGCCGATGATCCGCAGCATCCTCACCAACATGCATGAGATGGAGAAGTTACTGCACAAGACCGAGGACATCAGCTGGACGGTGGTTCGCCCGCCTGGTCTGAAGAACCTGCAGGCTTCAGGTAAAAGCAAACAGGCAGTAGACCAAAGAACGGTGTGAACGCAGATGCGCTCTAATCGCTCCTATCGCATCGCTTTAAACACTCGAGTTTCACTCGCGTCATTCAAACAAGACATGCTGGCTCGGTGGCTACAACTGCAACAAAATTAACATATTTTACCGTGATTCAATTGTAATACACGTTTCTAAATGATGCCGAAGTAACAACATACTGATACCGGTTAGTAAAAAACATGAATTAATGCTTGACAAGTCTGCAGACAAGACGGCAGGCGAAAGCCTTTTAAAATGCTTGTTTTCTGAATGAAGATTGGGTCGACCAGGCTAAGCTAACGTTGTATATTCATTCCACACTCACAACAACGGCCTACGGACATAAATAAACCAGCGACTGTATTCACCATGACACAGACAGTCTGTGGTTTGTACTTGTTTAACTTTTGTCCAGTTTCTGAACAGATATGAGGAGCTGTGAGCTCTATGTGCTAACTGCTAACGGCTGATGTTTTCTGGTTGAACGTCAGTGACATTACCTCATGGCTGCGTCGCGTAAAAAATAGGATTCATCCTAATTTTAGAGAAGCCCTGCGCCGAGACGCTTCTGGGACGTAACGTGCCGTGTGTGGTGGAATAGCACCCATTGACTAGAGTGGCCGCAATCTTTGCGAACGCCGCGGTGTATCGAAAGCCCAAAGTGCCACTATTCCCCCATTTAAAACGCCCGTTTTTTGTAAAAAAACTGTGGAAAGCCCAAAGTGACACTATTCGCCCGTTTTTCGCGCGTTTTAAACGGGCGAATAGAGCCACTTTGGGCTTTCCATAGCGGCGCAGCCGTAACGCGGCCGTCTCACGGCCGTCATGCGGCCGTAACGCAACGCAGATAGACCCGGTGGAAATTAGTCGTTAAAGATTACCTTCTGCCCTCAGGATCACATAGTTCAGGCTCCTAGCATGCGCTCTCATTACTTAGTGCAGTGTTTAAGTTATTCCTTACTGTTACGTCCCGACTAGGGGAAGAGGAAAGCAACATACACCACTTGGAATTGGTAATAATTATAAATAGTTTTATTGTATAGCAGGATAACAAAATGGCAGGCAAGCAGCCTGGAACAAACAAAAGGCCACAAAGGCACCAGTTTTAAATAACAAACAAAAGTGGCCACAAGGGCGCAAGTTTAAATGGCAACCAAGCAAAGGGAGGACTCTAATAAGTGAGCCTACTTAAATACAAAGGAATATACATAGCTAAACTAAATAACCCTTACTATCGCAGTGGTACAAACTAATGAAAAGGAGGCTGTAAGAAAACACAGCTAAGCTAAATAAATAGAGTCAACGTAAAGGCTAAGATACTAGTCACAACTAATCATTAGTGATGGCAGTTTGACACTGAAGCTTCGAACGGAGCTTCAACCCTGGACTTCCTATTCCATAGAAGCAGTGCTTCGAAGCTTGCTTCAAATCACGTGACATGTGACGTCCGAAGCAGCAACTGCTTCAAATCACGTGACATGTGACGTCCGAACCAGCAACTGCTTCATTTCCTGAATGAATCAACTCACTGGTTCGCCGTCCAATCAGGTGATTCAATGCACTGCCTCGTCTCGATTCTGACAGGTGACAGGTTGAAACAGTTTCAAATTTGAGCGCTTCAACACTTTATAACCCCTCTAAACAATGCGCAATGTGTGGGTTGTTGTTGTAGTTTGCGTTGTTGCTGTTGAGTTGTTGTTGGCATTGCATTTGAATTGGATCATTATAGAGCAAGCCAGGAAGAAAAATAGGTCGTTCTGGCTCGTGAAACACTTCGAAATGTGGAGAAGTTGTGAACAAAAAGACAATGAGTAATATAAAAACACTTCGATGGTTTAAGGAATTGATAGCCCAGTGGATAGAGCCGGCGGCCAGGATGCGGCGATACCATCTGCGCAGCTGGTTCAATGCTCGGAATAGTTAAACTTTTAATCATTGCTTTTCAACTTTAATACTTTAATAACTGATAAAAGGCCCTCTCCGCCCAAAAAAATGTCCAGCACTCTCTAGTCTCTTCTCAATAACCCAATACACACTATTATCAATCTTTAATTGCAAATAGAACATGATATTCAGTCTTAGTGTGTGTGTGTATCGAATATTTTTCAAGGCAAAGATACGTTAAACCCACTGCAGCCTTGCACTTCGCCAGGAGAGGTCGCTGTAACTGAAGCTTCGAGAAATTAACCTATTTCCGACACAATTGTCCAAGTGGTTTGACGCTTCATTCAAAGCTTCATTTTGCCATCACTACTAATCATATCAACATTACCAAACACAGACCACACAAGTTAACCACTGCTAACAGATTTATACATGAACGAAGAGCAAGTAGCGAGAGGCATCTGTTCACACAACAGAGCCTCCAGAGTGATCGTCAGTCACAGGCTTTGTAGTCATCTCCAGCAGGTGTGCGCCGGCTGTGCGCTGCGATTGGAGGGCGTCGGGCCCGGCGTACTCCAATCACAATCTTCGGGGGGGGGGGGCGGATCAGGAGATAGCAGCCAATGACCTCAGAGCAACCGCACAGCTCATTTACATATATCACAGGTTAAAAAAAAGTTAAGACGACCAGGAAGACAGCAGCCGTAACACTTACCTTGGGGTTTCATCTCGTTTAACCATAGATGTTGTGTTTTTCCACTTCCTGCAGGAACCTGTTGTTGCAATGCCTCTGAATGCCATTTTTTTAACTCTTTGTGTCTCTCCAGCTCAAGAGTTTCTGACCCATGAGGGGTACTTTGTGCCCGACGGCAGTGGTCTCCCTGTAGGCAGCGCAGTGGGAAGAGGAGACGTGGCTCGCTTCATGCTCTCTCTACTCAACTCCAACGCCTGGGTCAACAAGGGAGTCGCCATCACTACCAAATAAAAAATAAGAAGCCAGTGTTGCCCTGATTAAAACAGTCGGTTCACCCAAAGTACAACACATATTTTTTACTCACCAATATCTGGTTATATCTACCAATTTTTCTTAAGATGTTGAGGTTGTTTTTCTTTTGCCTCCATTCCAATGCGACAGAGCAAAATGTAGTTTTTTAGTCCACTTCCCTTCTGTTTTTTGTCACTGGCAGGGCGTGGTAAACAGCGACATAGCTCTGATAAAACCACTATAAGCTATCTGCTCTGCACTTAAAAACAGACAAAGCAAAGAATGAATATTGGAATTGAATGCATCGTTTTAGAAGAAGCAAGACTCCAATTAATTGTTGTTGCTTCTTTTCACAAGTTCACATCATTATAAGGTGATAAAACGTCATGGATGTGGATCGAAGTGATCGGAAATCTTAAAAATTCACATCACCAAGTTAAAGAGTTAAAAGAGAAGATTCATGTTTTGTAATTTGGGTGAACAAATGTGCAGTCTTTCATCTTTCAACATGGTGTAAAATATATATCTATGCCTTAAATAGCTTAATATGTCTTAATGTCTTTTTTCATACGCTTGTTTTTAGATGATCTTAAACCTTCATCGATAACTTTATTATCAAAGAGTTTTGGTGTTTGGACATAACATCAGTGGTAACAACTTATTCATTTAAGAGGGTTGTATTTGGACAGCTTTGTGTTGTTACTGACAGATAATACTGCACAGTGTATTCACACGAGTACTCTATATCCAAATGTGTACTGTATCAGTTCTGTAAAATAAACGCACAATAATAAACCTGATGAAGGATCATTTGTTCTGCAATTGCATGAATCTAACTTGCTTTACAACTCAAATGATCAGTTGTGTAAGTTTCCTGGGTAAACAATTTAGTTCAACAACTGATTTGACCTCTGATAAACTGACAATAGAACACACATGGCAGAACATTTTTGTTAATTATTTTCTAAAAGTATGCAACACTTAGGGCCACACCCAAAGCTGTGACGTTAAAGTGTTTGTTTTCTACCAAAGATAAAAACGTTGTGTCTTCAGCTGATCAGGGTGTTCAAGATTAGTGTCTCTTTATTGGTCCTGCTTGGTTAAACTGTTAGCTGCTGCATTTTAAGTCAGTGTTTCAATTGATTTACAAGATAATGTGTTTTTAGCTTGTTCATTGTTTTAAGTTCCATTACTAACAATTCCAACATACATGGTTAAATCAGCCTCAGACGAGTAATGTGCAGGAAGCTGTGTGGATTGGTCATGGGGCAAAAAAGTATAATTTCCTTCTATTGATATTTGTTTTATATTTACTGGAAGGTAGTATGATTGGTAAAACATTTAAAATTTGGTTGAAAATGTGGAAGTTTAGTTGTCATTCAGTTGGTCGGGTAAGATGGGGGTAATGCTGTTTTCTTTCAGACAGAAGGAAGTTGATCCGTCTTTCTGTTCAAAGAAACTATATCAAGTGTGTGGATGTTCCAGATATATGAACTGATATCATCAGTACACTCCGTCAGACGTCAAGTAGTGAATGTGCAGCCCAACCCTGTACAGTACATGCAGTTTAAATATTTAAAACAATGCCGGAGGATAAGATGTTTAGATAAATTGTCATTACGTCCAGCGAAACTGGGTCTGTTTCTCGTAGAAATGCCATTGTAACTTTATCTTAAACTTTCCCGCAGCAACACAACCAGTTTTTTAAGAATGCAAACTGATATGACTGAGAAGTAAAGAGAATTGTTGTACACATATACACAGTATATACATTAGGGGTTTTGGTGATATATCGGTACTTTAAAGGTTAATATTATGTAAAATATTCACATATAATGTTGTGTAAATCCTTACATTCAAATGTGTGATTTATTGCCAAAAAGAGACACTACGCACAATAAACAAAGTGTTTTGGACTGAAAGCATTGTTTTCTATATGTACATAAACATATACATATGATTACATTCAAAAGTTTATGTATGTGTTAATATGTGCCTGCTAAATAAATACATTTAGCAGAGCAGTGGTTTATATCCCTCCAATATGCACAGTACAAATTAAAGTTTGGTCGATTCGTTCCCTCTTTATTGACAATCGTAGAACATCTGCCACAAAATAAACATTTTAATATTTGTCAAACTGTACATGGAGAAGCACAAATAAAAATGTATGCTTTAAAATTGCACTTGTGTTGGGAAAAATTAATCAACTTGATATTCTTATCTTAAATCAAATATTTCATCCAGTTTTTAGGGGGAATGTATACAGCTTTGCTAGATTGGAATTATCTCACAACCTGAGAACGAAATTGGCGATTAATGCTGTAAAATCTTTGAGTAGTAATCTTTATGAATCGCCGCTTCAAACACAGAAAAACATTCTGGTAAGCTTATGTCCAAGTGAGTTTCATCTCTCAGGCCACAGTGGAAGAACAAAAGTTCCTTCAAAAACTGTAAAAAAAAAGATGAATGACACCATCCAGTGTTTTCCGTACAAGTTATCTGTACATGCCAACGGGAAATGGCAAGATTTGGCTCTGATTTGGATGATTTATTTACAAAAGGTGCACAGCTGCTTTGAGACCGTATGTACATTTAACAGCTTAAATAATAACTGAAGCTTATTTAAACATAGCAGCAAAATGAATTTTCTATTAAAAACACAATCAGATTTTTAAGATTTTTTCCCTTAAATAAAAAATGTATTTTGAAGGTTTAACATTCAGTTGAAAAGAGATTGATATACTTCTCAACATGACCTCTGTGCACAGTAGAACATTCATAAACATGCCTGCAGTTTCTCCGAACACCTATCCTCAGCATTATCTGTGCAATTACAGTCTACTACTTTTCCGTGGTCACTCCATACAATTCGTTAATTTTCTCCTGGTACATCTTCACAACAATGGGCCTCCTCAGTTTCATGGTGGGTCCTGCAATGACGAAAATTAGAAAAGAAAGGCAGGTTAATTCTGTTCTGCTCTTAAATCTCAACGTAGATTTGGTCCACTGCAGATTTGAAATGTTTTTGGGTGATGTTGGGGAGATATTTTCCAAGGTCCATAGCTTTGACCCAGTTTATCAGTTCATACTGTCCTGACCTTGGCTGCTGTGCTCTCAGTATTCTGTCTCCCTGTTCCTGCCTGTTGGCGTCAGCTGATAGATAGCTGTTATCATTTAGTGGGAATGCTGTTAACAGCATTCCAACTAACTGTTCTTCCACGCACGAAAAGTTTATTATTCCGCCGGATAGTTTTGCCGCGGCTCTTCTCCCGCATGAACATCGAGAACTCCTTCAACATCAAAACGTTCAGCTCGGTCGGAATCGATGGCTATTACTTTTCTCATTCATAACTTTAATAATTCCAGAGATACATCCCATAATTCATCACATTTTTAACATTTGAACTTTAACATTGCGCAGCTCGTTAAGGCAGAGTGCGTGATGTCAGAGTTAGAGTGGAGGACAGTTTCAAATTTGCCTTCATATATTTTTTTAAACTGCCATAATTCCCAAACCCTACATTCCTGAGACATAATTTTTCATGACAAACGTAGGAAAACATCCCGTAGCTTGAAAAATGACAAATAATTAAGCAATATAATTAAACAAAGTGCCTCTTGAGGGCATGAAGTGACAAAAACGTTCAACATGTCTCCATTAAAGCCCATTGTAATTTCAGGCAGATATTTCCTCACAGCAGCAGCCGCACATCTTTAGTTAAAAAGTGCTCAAACTTCACATGTGTGCTAACAGTCCAGCCGTGAAGACATCTACTGGACAGTTTTGAGATTTCTTCAAATGCCGTTGCCATGGGAACACAATGCTCGCCATGAAACACGGTTTTCTCATAACTTCAGTGAAACTGCTCCAAACGCCCCAAAACTTCACAGGTTTGGTAACGATACAGCCATCAACGCATCTAAGCGTAGTATGGGGTGTCGACAAATGCCGTTACCATGGCGACAGATCATTCGCCATCAAGTTAGTTCAGAAGTTTGCAGTTCAAATATTCTGCTGCTTTTCCAAGCCTTTTTACTTTCTTTTCTTCTCTCATCACATATTCAAGCCCCCACTGTTCATGTATCATTTCAATCTAAATTCTTCACTTTCTTCTTACACATTACATTTCAGCATAGCAGTTTAGCGTCAGATTTTCAGCATAAAGCATTCCCACTAGCAATTTCTTCAGGAATTGCATTCTCTAGTTCTATCTTGTTATGCACAATGTTGATTATTCTCTCTGAACTAGCTAAATCCATGGGTCTGGGGTAGAGTTCTTCAGAATTGACGTGGCAACTCTCCCGTGAAGTCAGAACCTCTGACTCGTGACTTGTTTTGTGAATTCTCCGGCCGAAGCTCCAAATAAACCATCAGTGTTTGACATCAAAGCTCAAGCTCTTGCTGAGTTTGTGACTCCCACTGCATTGCTACACAGAAGTTTCCCCCACAAAATGAGACATTTAATCACTGTCGAACAACATTTCGTGGAATGTTGTCTGGCAGACAACAAAGTCACAATACTTTCTATTACGACTTGACCTCGATTCCAAGCTGATTAAACCTGGTTGTCGCTGAAGTGAATACTTCCTTGATGACAGTGTTGTTTGTACCTTTGCCCCAGTTTTAATAAAGTAACTCACCCAGTTCTCCTCCACCGATGGAGAAGTCTTGCTCCAGGATGACAAACTTCTGGATCTTCTGGGCGTTGGACGTTGCTCTGGCGTTGACGCGCTCTATGCCCTCCTGAATGGCTGTGTAGATAGCTGGCTCCTTATTGGCTATGATCCCTGACACCGTGGTCGCTGTGACGTCGTGCTGCTGGCAGAAACTCAAGGCCTCGGGGGTCAGTGCGTCTGTGGGATCGCCGTTGTCGTCCAACACACACTGAGGAAAAAGAGAGGGGTCATTATTGTGTTTGTTTTATTTATTCAGTAGCTGTGACCCTATGCAGGAGTGGAGGCCTGGTTACTTTGAGTGTGATCATGATGGAGAGGAACTTCAGCTTGTCTCCGATCAGCATGGCGTTGCTAATGATGGCCACCTCGGACTTCACTGAGTCCTCGATGAGCACGGGAGGGATGTTCTCTCCTCCGGCGGTGATGATCAGCTCTGGGAACGCAACATTGTCGTTTAGCCATTCAGTTACCAACAAGTTATTTTGATTGCTTTTAACTTGTATTGAATCACATTTATAATGTTTTTTTGTCTTTGCGAACACAGCTGACCCTTGATCCTTCCTGTGATGAAGAGGAAGTCATTCTTGTTGTGTCTTCCCAGATCTCCAGAGTGCAGCCAGCCGTCCTGGTCGAGGGCCTCTGTTGTTTTGTCCGGCATGTTCAGGTAGCCCATGAACACGTGGCGACCCCAGAAACATATCTCTCCACTCCCGTCCTGATCAGGGTTCTCCAGCTTTGTCTTGGCGCCTGGCATCACCTTTCCACAGCTGGAGAGTCAAAAAATAAATAAACAACAAGCTCACTGTGACCAAATGTTGCACTACAACTGCACCCCTACTTTAACTTTTAAGTACATATAAATAATACATTACAATGTACATAATTGATAGAACATTTTTCAGGTCAAAATAAAAAGAAACATGCTCCTTAGTGAATATTTAAACCTGTGGTTCGCAACCTTATTTGGCTTGTGATCTCTTAATTAATTTCTGATTATAACTGCTTATAATAAACATATCGCAAATACTGTAGAAAGGTAGTAGTGAGGAAACATCTTAAATCCCATCTCATCGGACCCTCGGTCAGGACGTCTTCAACTGACTTGAGCACATGATATTAATTACGCTACTACATGTTTAGGTTTAGAAAAAGATCATGGTATCTTACACAGGTATGTTACGTAACTTTAAGTGGCAATAGATAACACTTTAGCTCTCCCTTGTGATTATGAAGTAAATGTTAATTGCACAAATAAATGGCTGTAAATAAATGACACTATCTGCATTTAGATTAGATCCCTTTAAGCCTTGCTTTCACTATGCAAACGGTCCGTCTCTGGGTCATGATTTCACTTTCAAAATTAAAGCCCAAAACATATACACTGCATCACCGCCTATCAACAGGAGCAATGTTGTCATGGGGACGAAGGAGGCAAAGCAAGCTCCAACCAACACTGCTTAAGGTAACATCACTTGGAAAAAGAGGTGAGTGAATCTAAAGTAAAAACAAATTCTATTTGCAGATTACTCCAGCTAAAAAATATTGGATATTCCCAGTATTATTTATATATGCATTTACTTTTTTCCCTGCCTTAATTTTTATTTCATTTATTTATTTTTCTCCAGTTTTCTTTATTTTTTTGTACTCCTTAATTTCTATACGTTTTTGACGAAATAAATGCCATTGTTATATTTATGCCAATGATGATGCACGGGAGGGCTACTCCCCATAAGCTATGCTTCAGCCCTCCCGCTTCTACTAATTTTGTTCATTTGTGTGTATGAATTATACGTTTTTGTTTTTGTATGAATTTAGTAGAATACATTTTTTTTTTTAATAAAAAAAAATCTCACAAAGTCTTGTAATATTCTCACATTCATATCAGCATCACATTTGATATACTAGAGTTGTTGGATAATGCTTTGCTGCTGACCTTGCGATGCAGTAGCTGCTGTTAGAAGAGATGGTATGTGGGCCGGAGCTTTCACTCATGCCGTATAACTCCAACAGCGGCATGTTCAGGCTCATGAAGTACTCCAGAGTGTCTTTGGTGACGGGGGCAGCGCCCGTGAAGCAGAGCTTGCAGCGGTCTAAACCCAGCGCTTCACGGACCCTCTTAAATACCAGATTATTAGCCAGCATGAAGCCCCACGGCACCTGATTCTCCCTATAAGCCAAATACAAAGTCACATGTACATGTGTTACATATTTGAAGTCATGAATTGTTAGTAATTAAGAACTGGGCCCATAAAAAAAATAGGTAGCAATGTTGAGCTGAAATTGACCCATAACGAAATAACTACAGGATGGATTGCTATGACATTTTCTATAAACAATTTCCCCCTCAGGATGTTTTGTAGCCACTGTGGGTATCTCCAGTTAATATGGTGTAATCATAAGCTCGAAATGTCAAACCACAATCATGCAGACCTAATGTCAGCCTCAGCTGCATCAGCTGTTCAGCGTGACCGGTGCTAATTGGCCATTTTATAATGCAAACATGAGGCTGGACTTCCTATTATTTAGCAACCCTAAAAGTCTGAACTGAAAGTGAATTTGCCTGATAATAAAATCAATGACTGCTCTGAAAATACAAACTCTCATTACAACAAAAAGATACACGTGGCTAATTATTATCCAGAAGGACATCATTGGACCATCCTAGTTATTATAGGCTATATCTATTTCCTTAGATTGTGAAGGCATGCTCTGCCAAACTCTTCCTCTGATTAGCTATTGTAACTATGCCTCACTCCTAATACCTAAACAAAATAATACAAATATTGCAGCTGCAAAGGTCCGATGACATCATTTTGCGTGATCATTAGCCATGTGCTGCTGTTTGGTGCTAGTGTGTATTTTCTAAGCTATGGGCCATCAGAATAAAAACTATTTGTTACATGAAAAATGGGCTTTCAATCCAATTGGAAATCTTTCAGATAATTTGGATTTCCGAAAAATGGCACCAATGAAACAATCTTTGCTCGTCCTTACCCGTTCATGACACTGTAGTTGTACTGCAGGCCTATGGACTTGGCCCAGCCTGCTACTGCGCTCCTCATTGGGGATGCCTTGGCACCGGCAGCTTTCATCTTCTCCTGCATCTTCTCCCACACACGAGGAACCCCCAGGAAACAAGTGGGACGAGCCTCCTTCAGTGTGTTCACTAAGGAGCCCTGGAAAAAAGGAATGGAGATTATAGTCAAGATAGAAAACCTTCATTATAACTCAATGTTTTACACAGCTGTAGGCTTCCATACCTTGAGAGCATCTGGATCTGCAAAGTATGTTTTCATGGCAAAACAAACACACATCCACATGTCAATTAGCTGGGCTGCCACATGGCTGAGCGGCAGGTAGCTGACCAACACCTCCTCACCGTACTTAAGACCGGCCCCGGGAGCTGCCGTACGGACTGTCCATGTCAGCTGCAGATTAAAGACAAAGGTAGGAGTCATCAGAGAGTCAGAGACATTTTTCTTTCATTTTCACAAAGCAAACACATTGATGTTTAGAGAGGGGCCACAATTTCTTGTTTGATGCCCGTTTGATGTTTACATTCTCAGGAGCTGCTCTAAATTTCGCAGTAAAAAGGTTGGAATCAATTACTGAATCTATGTATATTATTATATTTGAAAACCCTCCTGAATACCCTATTGAGGCCGACTTTCTGATGGTATTTGGATGTTTTAGCATTAAATGTTCAAATGTAGCAGTTTCAGGAGTTCCACATGGCTCTTTATTGGGTATTTACAAGAAGAACCACTTAACTAGATTCTGTTAAAACGATCATGCATCTTCAAAAATTAATAACAGGTTTGGGAAAATGTTATTCTTCTTAATCTGAATATACATCAAGGCCTGCAGTATTCTTTTCAAATGTCTTTCTCTTCCTGACCCAGTAAACATTTTCACACCACGTTGTCCTCTTTGGCTTTGGGAGATGGTAATGGTCAGTTTTTCACATTTGACAAAACTAAACACTTAATTAGACAGACATCTAATCTACAATTAAAGTTAAGAAAAATAAAGTAATTGTCTATAACTCACATTGTCATGGCTCAACATGACTCCTTTAGGGTGGCCAGTTGTTCCCGAGGTAAAGATGAGGGTGCAGCACTCATTGGCCCGAAGACTGTCAATCACAGCATCCAGCTGCTCGTCAGGCACGTCTTCTCCCTGCTTCATGAACTCTGCCCACTACACATATAGAGAGATCCTGGTGAAAAATGTGTCCAAGCCCAGACTAAAATGTAACTGATACTGTGCAGTTGAATACATTTAAGTGAATTATTAAAACATACATTTTAATGATCCTAATTTAGCTTTAAAAATGTAAATGGTGCTACTGTAGGCATCACATACAGTTTACTATCAGATCATTTGTTTTACTTTGTCAATATGTTTGGTGAGGGAACATACTGTATACAGGAAGGGTGCTTTCTGCTGCAGCTCGCCTTTATACTGGACAATTGCTTTCAGATGAGGTAGTTGATCTTTAACCTGTTGAGAAAGATGAATTACACAAAGTCAAGTGAGGACAGATTTATTTCTATCTTCCAAAAGTGAAACATTTTCAAAGGTCCTGACCTGCAGAATCTTTTCAAGCTGTTTCTGGTTTTCCACAACCAGGATATTAGCCTCACAGCTTTCAGCAACATACTGACAAGCTTCAGGTGAGTTGGTGGTGTAAATCCCAGTTGCCAGACCCCTGTGGCACAAATCAGAGAAAGGAGAGTATTCATCTCTGTTGAAGGCACACATTATTCACTGTGGAGTTTGCCATTTTTAAACTTAGCTTAACAAGAAAGCCTAGTAAGATAAAACAAATAGTTTTTCAAGGTTGTGTTTGCCAAAATAGGCAGCTTCAGTTAATATGTATACAAGAGTAATTCAAACTTGAAGAATGCTAAAGTTTGTAATAACTACAAATCCAGTCAAAAGCCTGTGATTCGTGCCTTAACTACACAAGTTCAATGTTACTCAACAGCTGGATACAAGATTAACATCAGTACTTGGTTTCCTTAGACTTTAAACTGTTTTGTTCTGAACAGGAGTCGGGAGATTGACTTTGAGATAAGCATGCACAGAGCAAAATGTGCAGTGTCAGGTGACGCAATGCTGAAGCATCTCTACAAGTCCACATGGAATTTATCCACCTTAGTTCTTTAAATGAAATCTTACCCGGCAAAAATGCAGCCAACGTCTGAGATGAACCATTCAGCTGAGTTGAATCCCAGGATCCCCACACCATAGTAACGCTCGAGCCCCAACTTAAAGAAGAAACATTGTTTTTTTAGGAGCATGTTTCTTTAATGACGCAACAGCACTGTGTCTCTCTTGACCTACATCTAATTTAAAAGGCGACTCTACCTTATGGGACACAAACATGTCCGTGAAACAAGAGATGTAACACAAGCTGTTTATTTCACACGCCCCATTGTTATTTTTCAGCAGCCTGTTCTCACACAACGCAACATGCAGTGAGAGAGTGAAATTCTGGGGTACTGTTTACAACGCAGGTAAAAACTTTATAAGTGCCGCACAAATTCCCCTATTTAAACAATGACTTATAGTAGTTTAGTTAAAAAATGTAGGGCATACACAGGCCTAAGAGACACACAAAATGTTCTGAAGGAGAGTGACAACATTCCAAAAGAATATGCCACTGCGCAAGTATTATTGATGTTTATTTTTTTTTGAATGTATGCATATCATGTCAAGTTGCAGTCAAACCTTGAGGAAGCTTTTAGCTGCTGCACGGCACTGCTCGTAGTATTGCCTCCACGTCAGGGTCACCCACTGGCCCTCTGTTTTGGAAACCAAGGCGGGACGATCCCCGTAATTTTCCACCGTCTCCATGAAGAGCTGATGGACGGTAATGGGGGTTTCTGAGGCCGGGCCCGAGCCCTCCATCCTCAGCCGCACCGCCTGGTCTCTGCTGGTGCTCCATAGCTGGTCTGCTGGGGCCAGAGCGGTCTGTGCTTTGGCCGTCGACAGAGGAACTGCCCTGGGCTCTTCTGTATTGGGACAACATGGGCAGCCGTGTTTACCCGCCATTTGTTACAGGTTAAATACAGAAGACACCACACCGAGACGCAGCCAGCTTCAGGAGTCAGGTGAGTGAGAGGACTGCAGACATCTCTGGACTGTGGGATCTAACTCCTGAGGTGCCAGAGCAACACGATCTGCAAGCTGTGCCGTGGATGAGGAAACACATACGATACCAATGTCAAGTCTACCTACCAATCAGGTTTGTGGAGAGGAAGTTTGGCAAGAGCATCAAATAACACAGACATAATAGGCCTACCAGCCGCGGCGCCAGGATTTCAATTGTGGGTGGGCCAATGTAATTTCGGCTGGGCCTGTTCAAATGTTTTCTCGCGATTTTTGTTAATAATCTAATACAAATAGGCTATGCCTAGAATGACATTCGTGTTTACTGAGAGCATAGTCGATGTGTTTCCAGTCCCTGTAACCATGGCGACTGAATGTATCTTCTCCGCCGGCCCCGCCTCTCTCTGAGAGGCGAAGTCCCGGGAAAAATAATGTATTGAAGTCAATGGAGAGAGAAAACGTATATTGCGATCCCGTTTGAATTGTGCCATGAAATACACATAAGATGTTTGTCAATCTTAAAAAATCATTTCCATGCCAAAAAAGTCACAGTTTGTCATAAAACTGTTGAAATATAAGACTATGAAAAATACGCAACTAGAAAGACTACAAATCCCAGAGTCACATAAGTGATGTCACCATTGTTTTCCTCCACAAAGAGATAGCTAAGATCAGCGCCATATAGATAGAATCTATATGGTGCTGGCTAAAATAAGATAACTTTAACAAGATGCCTGACTAGATGACTTCGCCAGAGTGGCAAAGTCCCTCCTCTTCCGGAGGAGCTCCATGGGACCTTATTTCGGAAAAATTATGTATTGAAGTCAATGGAGAGAGAAAGATTATCTTTCGATCCCGTTTAAATTGTGCCACAAATTACACATATGATGTTTGCCAATTTAAAAGATAATTTTGCAAAACTGTGAAGTAACACATTTTTTTGTGTGAAACGCTCAATGAACTACGTCTCTGGTCTCGCACTCTCACAACAACACACGTCACCAAGATGGCCGTCACTACTGTCTTGTCAAAAAAGTGATTGACTACCCTCACTATCAACACAATGAAACAAGTCCAGAAGAATGTCATGCAAAGCTGCCTGCCTTCCTTTGATTCTCTCTGAACTGCATGATCTTTTTAATGTTTAATGTCAACCATTTGTGCAGATAGCATGAAGTAGAACAGATCGCCAGTGCTAATGTAGCGTTAGCGTTAGCATCTCTCCCCCGGGCTTAAATGGTGTATTATAGAATGATCACACCGGTGTGACAGTACTCTTCAAAGGTTTCACTTACTTCATGTTAAGGCTAATAAAAATGACAAGGCTAAGACTGTAATGCTAACTAACGTGCTTGCTACTAGCTAGGTAGCTAACTTTCATCAGACGGGAAGCGAAAGAACGAGCAAGACCCATTGCTGGTATGATAACAACCTGGTACTAAGCACACAGGCATCTTGTTAAAGTTATCTTATCTTAGCTATCTCCAGGTTGTTATCATACCAGCAATGGGTCTTGCTCGTTCTTTCGCTTCCCGNCATGATGATGGATAACTCTTCATCCCAATTGTGAATGTTTGCGAAACAGTAAAACCAATAACGATTAAATACAAATGGAAGCAATAGCAGGAATATATGATCTTACAGTAGCAAGGACACGATGATATTATAAATTTAATTGTAGCCTTTACTATCTAAGGCGTACCTAGAATACGGTGTTTTCCTACAGATTACTTTTACGCATTGTGTAGTTATAATCTTAGGACGATTAATAAGATGCTGAAGTGCTTTGTACACTTTGGACCCGCTTTACCTGTGCATATGACAAACCAATGAGAAAAGATTTTATCTGGGCCGCTTCGGCTCCAGCTGCTCCCCGGGACCCCGAAGTGGGTATATGTGCAGCCCTGTACTTCACACATCAACGAAATGTGCTCGGATATTGCTATATTGACTAAACATGATGATGATGGTGATTAAGATGCTTAATGTTCCGCTGTTCATTACTAATAAAAAACAACAGAGCATTAACACAAACATTCATGCTTTACTTTGAAATCATGCTGACATGTCGTTCTCAGCCGGCCATTCGTGTGTTCCGAAAATAACCCGGTGGACACGAGTAGATTTTAGCGGCGAAGAACGCGTGCGGAGGACTATGTCTAAAGTCCGTGTGTGTAAAGACAGTCCCACGCGCAGGATTTGCGATCCGAAGGCGCATTTTGGCCTCGACAAAATACAAAATTCGGATTCACAACTCGCCTGATGCCGAAGTTTGTAAATGTCTAAGAGATTTCTCGATGCAGATTCTTCAGATTTTTTATTTGTGGAAAATGTGTTAGCGTCCTGTTACACTGTTACACTTTTGCAACATCTTTTTAACATGCATTGTGGATGTGTTTTTACATTTTTCCAATCACACGTGTTTACACACCAAATTATTTTTATGTTCACACATAATCTGAGCACATATCTATGGCCCATAGTTTATTTTTCCCTTTTCTTTTTTTTTTTTCGGCTTGATTTGTCAGAGAGAAGCCCCATAAAGACTCCGCATCGATCGTCCTGTGATCGTTTGTAGCACGGTTAGTGAGCAGTTTTCTCATTCCACCTGGAATAGAGGGAGATCTTGGCAAGCAAAGCTAAACTTTACCTGCACCACCATTGCTGACAGTTGCGCTCTCTACCAGGTGGAGGTCTCCAGAAGCCAAAATGATTTGAGCGAGTGCTGGGAGCAGGGTGGAGCGAGCTATCTCACAAGTCTGGGCCGCGACAAAAAACACGGCATCTGGTTCTGGCCTGGCAAGACCTGAAGCCTTGAGTAAGTGCTCAAAGGCCCTAAACCCCTCTGAATTCACTGCGCGTTTATCAGGGGAAGGGACTATTTACAGTGTCTTATGTAAAGCCTGTGCTTCATCTCCGGTCTTCACTCCAGCATCTTGGGCAATTCAGGATGACGACACCGCACTTACGGCCCCTTAGACACTGCGCGGTCGCGCTTGACGTTCAGCGCTTTGTGGCCATTCCTTACTTGTTTCGACTTTTGTGCGGTCCACGATTTCGCCGCCTGCTTTGTGGGTAGCAAAGCGTAGCTCTTCTCTCGCGGTGCTCGTGTTTTAGTTGTTTTAATGTTCCACTTTTGCCGCCTCGACGGGAGCGTCAGCTTTTTTATACCGTGCAACGCTCCTGCCAATCAACCGCTGTGCTTGTGTGTCTGGGCGGGAGTTCATGTGATTGTTTCAGCCCCCCGCCGGCCAGGACAATTTCGCCGCCGTATTGTTTCGTTACTTCTATCAAAGTCCATACTGGATTAGTCTGATGGGGGCCCGCCAAGACTTGCTGGACATGGCTGCTTAGGCGAAAGTGACCCCAGGTTCAAACAAGATCGTAGCGGAAGCAAGCTTAGAGGGGGAAGCTAAGTGCCAGAGCCATATCAGAGATGGAGGCACTGCTGTCTGAGTCTTACCAGGGTTACAGTGAGCGGTTCTGCGTTCACAACACAGCACCAGCAGTCTCGGAGCACAAAAACGAAAACCCTTGGAGCTTCTTCAAAAAGGTGCACAACATCCTTTTCCTGGGGGGTTCCACTCCATCAGCATAGGGACGCGGATTGCGCAAACACGAGTTGTCTGCTACTTGCAATCTGTCGATGCTGACAAGTGAACCCGATCCCCGTGCTGTGTTGTGAAGCCATGAGGGAAATGTTCCCAAACTTGAACAGTGGCAAAAAGTATCTTGTGTTATTGCCCGCACCAGTTCTTCCATCGGATACGTTTTCAGTACCTGTGGAATATGTTACAGTGGGCAAAAAAGTATTTAGTCAACCACCAATTGCGCAAGTTCTCCCACTTAAAAAAGATGAGAGGCCTGTAATTTTCATCCTAGGTATACCTCAACTATGAGAGACAAAATGAGAAAAAAAAAATCCAGAAAATCACATTGTCTGATTTTTAAAGACTTTATTTGCAAATGATGGTGGAAAATAAGTATTTGGTCAATAACAAAAGTTAATCTCAATACTTTGTTATATACCCTTTGTTGGCAATGACAGAGGTCAAACGTTTTATGTAAGTCTTCAAAGGTTTTCACACACTGTTGCTGGTATTTTGGCCCATTCCTCGATGCAGATCTCCTCTAGAGCAGTGATGTTTTGGGGCTGTCGCTGGGCAACACGGACTTTCGACTCCCTCCAAAGATTTTCTATGGGGTTGAGATCTGGAGACTGCCTAGGCCACTCCAGGACCTTGAAATGCTTCTTACGAAGCCACTCCTTCGTTGCCCGGGCGGTGTGTTTGGGATCATTGTCATGCTGAAAGACACAGCCACGTTTCATCTTCAATGCCCTTGCTGATGGAAGGAGGTTGTCACTCAAAATCTCACGATACATGGCCCCATTCATTCTTTCCTTTACACGGATCAGTCGTCCTGGTCCCTTTGCAGAAAAATAGCCCCAAAGCATGATGTTTCCACCCCCATGTTTCACAGTAGGTATGGTGTTCTTTGGATGCAACTCAGCATTCTTTCTCCTCCAAACACGTCTAGTTGAATTTTTACCAAAAGGTTCTATTTTGGTTCATCTGACCATATGACATTCTCCCAATCCTCTTCTGGATCATCTAAATGCTCTCTAGCAAACTTCAGACGGGCCTGGACATGTACTGGCTTAAGCAGGGGGACACGTCTGGCACTGCAGGATTTGAGTCCCTGGCGGCGTAGTGTGTTACTGATGGTAGCCTTTTTTACTTTGGTCCCAGCTCTCTGCAGGTCATTGACTAGGTCCCCCCGTGTGGTTCTGGGATTTTTGCTCACCGTTCTTGTGATCATTTTGACCCCACGGGGTGAGATCTTGTGTGGAGCCCCAGATCAAGTGAGATTATCAGTGGTCTTGTATGTCTTCCATTTTCTAATAATTGCTCCCACAGTTGATTTCTTCACACCAAGCTGCTTATCTATTGCAGATTCAGTCTTCCCAGCCTGGTGCAGGCCTACAATTTTATTTCTGGTGTCCTTTGACAGCTCTTTGGTCTTGGCCATAGTGGAGTTTGGAGTGTGACTGTTTGAGGTTGTGGACAGGTGTCTTTTATACTGATAACGAGTTCAAACAGGTGCCATTAATACAGTTAACAAGTGGAGGACAGAGGAGGCTCTTAAATAAAAATCTACAGGTCTCTGAGAGACAGAAATCTTGTTTGTTTGTAGGTGACCAAATACTTATTTTACTGAGGAATTTACCAATTCATTCATTAAAAATCCTACAATGTGATTTCCTGGATTCTTTCCCCCCATTCTGTCTCTCATAGTTGAAGTGTACCTAGGATGAAAATTACAAGCCTCTCATCTTTTTAATTGGGAGAACTTGCACAATTGGTGGCTGACTAAATACTTTTTTGCCCCACTGTAGATAGATAGATAGATAGATGGATAGTCCTCCAAATAAACACTTAACAACAACACTTTGAAGGGGACACTTATTGTTAAGTTGCCTAAAGACCCGTATTTTATTTTCTGTCCTCTTTGGGGGACATCACACTGGAGCCTTTATCTCAAACATCATGCATGCAGTTTATTTTTGTCCTAATGTTCTGTGTAAAAAAAAACCTCCTGGGCTTTCTAGTGATGTAATACTCATGGGGGTGGGGCCAGCTAAACACATAGCTCATAACCAACAAGTAATTCCCTAAAGACAACTTTAATTTAATTTTTTAAAAAGCCAGTACAGATAGATTTAGATGTTCATTTTGTGTGTTTTATATAATTGCCTGTTTTCCTTTCAGAGACACCTGGCCCTACGCCCCCACCGCTGATTCCTATCGATCAACTGCCGACAGATGTCAGGAGCGTTGCTCTTAAAGGTCACTATTTTTCAATTGTAGCCTATGATGGCAGGGATAAGTGTTTTTTTTGGGTTATTGTGAATGTTTGTTAATTATGAATTTTCATTGTGCATGTGCTCCACGCAGGTGAGAGCCACACAGAGAAGGTGGAGCTGTTGAACCCTGTGAATCTGGCTCTGGAGTGCACCTGGATAGGTAACAAGGACAAACTGGCAAACATAACGGGGCTCTGGAAGAAAGATGGCGAGGAGGTAAAGAACAGCAATCAAACAGTGCCGATGGAGAACGATCAGTATAATCTCAAACGAGTGTAAGTACTTCACATGGCCACTATTTCATCCATTAGCGCAAGTAATTTGAACTTTTTCCTAAACTAATTTTTCTCTTTTGATAGGTAGATGCCTCAATCTTCTCACGTTTATGCATTTTTACATCATCATTTACAAAAATAGTCAATGTGCATATATTGTTAGAATTTGTAGAAAATATATTTGAATATAAAGCAGCTAGAGAAAATGACTTTGTTTTAGTTTTTATTTCAGTCTAATGTACAATTTTAAATACAAGACATATTTTGCTGTTTTTCTAGTAAAACGACCTTATTTCAATAGAAAAAAGTACTTTAATTTACCTGAAAGTAAAACACATTAAATGCCACTCACATTTAAATTATTCATCTTCTTCTTCTTCTTAGCCTTTATTTATCCAGGTAAAAAATCCCATTGAGATCAATGATCTCTTTTACAAGGGAGACCTGTCATCATATTAATGTGTTGCATAATAGTCAGGTTTTACCCCAAAATCACTTGTCCTAAACATAATTTGGTTTGTATATATTTTTGATTACAGGTTCAGCATTGTCAATGAAGAAGACCTTGGAAGTTACACATGCGAGTTTGGAAGTAAAGCCAAAATAGACTTTGTTTTGGCAGGTACAAATCTAATTATTATTATATTATTATTATTGTTATATTAATCACATTTGTATGCATTGCAAATGTATCAGCAAGTCACTGTTGTTTCATTATAATGAATATCAATAACTACTCTGAGTAACTCTGTTTGAATGGTACAACAAGCTGTGTTTTTACCATGCTCTTCCCCCTGTTGTCCCCACAGCTCCACAGATCGGGGAAGTGCGAGACAAGCCGATAGTCAGCTATGTGGGGGACTTTGCGGTGATCACATGCAAAATGGAGGAGACCAAACCAGAGCCCAGAACCTGGTACTGGTACAAAGCGAACGGTACAGACAAGGTGGGTGAGCTGCACAGAGCTGTGGCTTAGAATGAGATTAGGCCAATTGTGACATTTGAATTGACACCTTTTACCATACATTTCAGTTTTTAAATAAAGATTGAATAATGCCATCTGCACGGTACAGCCCTACACACTCATATTATACACACAGGTGATTAGACCTCTTCTTTAACTGTCCTCAAGATGTGTCTAATCAGGCAAATTGAAAACACGTGTGCAGGTGTCTATGGATTAAAGTAAATCTGTAATAATATTCAGAATATTGACTTTGTTTAAAGTTTTTTCACTTACAAAAACTCAATGTAGCAATGTACCTTTGTTCCTGTCTCTTCAATAAAGGCACTGGTGGCCCAAAACAAATCTTTCAAAAACAAACTCAGATGTTTTATTTTTGTTTCTCACAGTTAAAGAAAATCAACACATTAAAATGTAATGTAAATATATATAAATGGCCACTCACCCGTTTCACATTCTTTATCGTTCCAGGAGCAGATTATTGCAGCTGAAGAGCCTCTTCGATATGAAATCAAAAATGAAGAAAGGAACACCAAACTAGTGGTGTCCAGCCTGGTGGAGGCCGACGGAGGCTTGTATTTCTGCGGGGCGGTGTACGCCATCAGCACCAGCATGAGCAACGTAGAGCTGAAGGTCAGATGTGGAAAGTATAAGTGCATTTTCTCAAATACTGTGCTTAACGAGTGGTGTTTGGTCACAAGCCATAAAGGTTGAGAAAAATGCACTGTCCACATGACCTCTTCTCAGAAGGTTTCATTTCAACATTAAGTTTGAGACCCAAGGACTTTCCCTCATTGTACAAAAAGATCAAAGACGTTTTTTCTTCTCTTCTACCCCATTACATATTTCAATACAGCTCAGATTTATCCTGTGACTTGTGGTTAGGACCTTGTTGCGAAACACCACGTAAATTAACTAATGAAGAAGTTAAAACTAATTATCTAAAAATGTACAATTCACATTTAACTTTGTATAGTTAAAGTACATTTTGCCTGCAATACTTCTCTACTTGTATTTTAGGTTAAGTGTTTTACTTTTTCTTGTAATCGAGTATTTTTCAATTTTCCACCGTTACTTCTGAAGGTCATCAGCATCCACGAGCCTCTGAAGCCCTTCGTCGCCATAGTGATCGAGGTGATCGTCCTGGTCGCCATCATTCTGCTCTACGAGAAAAGCCAGTCTAAGAAAAACAACACAGCAGGTAATCAGACAGAAACAGACACGCCTCTTCATCTTTATGTGCATCGTATGTTGTGTTTCACATTTAAATATTCTGCTTTATTCTCAGCGGAGAATGGGACTACAGAACAAACAAATACACTGTGAGTACTATGGGAGTGGTGCAGTTTTTTAAAATCTTTTTAAGTTGTATGTATATATTTGTAAGTTTTTATGACGTGAATGTTTTGTTTCCTTATCAGGACTCAAGGAGAAAGTAATGGACCAGGGGAAAGCTCTTCGATGAGACAAAGAAAAGTGTAAAGACTTGAAATCCAAAAAGATCCAAGCTTCTTTAAATTTGCTTATATTCAAATGTGAATGATATACTTTAAAAAGCAATATCTCAGCAACTATTTTGTGTATGTTTTTACCAAACAAAGTGCAATAACATGTTCACAAGTAGCCTCTTTTAGTTCTAATGTTCACTCTTATCTCACTGGAACATTTTTTTTCTATTTTAATCTGTGCTGTCATGGCAGCTAAAAGAGCAAAGCATTTACCTTCTGTGTTATTTTCTCTATCTTGCCCTGTATTCACCCACTTCCTGTGGAAAAACTCAAATGCATCGCTTCTTTGACACCTCTCTCAAACATTTTTTTTATTTCTGGCAAGTTAAACCTCAACTTCCCTTTACTTTTTATTCATGAGTAATGGTTTGTGAGCAGTGCCTTACACTCTTCACAAGCACTTTCATTCATATTGTGCTTCTAACTGTCTTTTTGTTTATCTTTCCTTTTTTTCATACCTTTAGGTTTTCCCAAAATGCTGTTTATTAGCTTTAATAACTTGTGTGTTTTTCATGTTGATGTATCAGAAGGTGGTCCGAGTTATCAGCCTGCATTTAACCTTAAAGGTGTACCACTATATGTAAACACACAAAGGAAAACTACCAAGTCACTGCCTGGAATAACTAAGAACGCCTTTGTGTAGCTGGTATGGAGACAGTGTTTCTAAAGAGAAACCTCAAAGTCTGCTTGTACAGAACTACTGCACATGTGAAAAGAAGTTGTATAAATCCTTATGAGGCTTCAGATGGAGAAGAAGAAAGGATATATGGAATAAAAGAGGATATATCTGCATCAGTTGTATGGTCTTCCTTTAGTCAAGTAGTATAATGCTAATTCCATGCATTACTCTTTGAAAGGGAAGTGGGAATACAAGTTAAAAGATGCCTATAAATGCAAAAAATGTTGTTGTAAGCCCTGACAAACACAAGGGTCATTTTGAAAAGCATGTTTTTTTTATTTTATTTTTTCATAAATACAGCCTGCACCATTATAATACTCTGTGTGTACAGTGTTTTTCATCCCTTTGTTCATACTCAGATGGCTGTTAAAGAAAGCTGCTTTTTTGAACGTTTCATTTTATACACTCTGACAAACGTCCTAATTTCCGGCATGTTGGGGTTTTCCCCCTGATTTCTAGCAAAACCTTCCACATTTATACAATCTCCCTAAAGAAATCTGGAGAACGTCTACTGCTTGTTCATGAGGAACTGAACCAGAAGCTTGAGGACGTCGTCGTTCAGACCCACCACCTCTCCGTCCTGCACGCTGTCGTACAGCCGCAGGCTCTCGGTGCCCCACAGGAGGTTCTTTCTGGGGTTGTTAGCGTCCGTCTCCACAGAGAGGGCCACTGTGTTGAGCTGGTAGCAGAAGAAGGAGAAGAACTTCCCGTCTGTGATCACAGCCTGGGACACGAAAGGCCTTGTTACGTCCTCGTGGTTCCAGAAACCTACAGAGGTGAAAGGGAATTATCATATAATTTCTTCAATTAAATAATAATCCATTTAACAGAGACTTTAATGCAAACTGTGTCAGGGTGATTCGACCACTGCTACATCTCAATGGACTGATATTTGAGAAAGATAGTTGTTACTACCAAAAGAAAGATATACTAAATGTGAAAAAGCACCTTTGGATTTCCTAGATGTTCTTTCCTAGATGTTCTTTCCTAACACATGTCCCAAAGACTTACTATAGTCTCCATGAGGTTAAATACATGAAGAATAGAGTTGGGATTCTGCACTCATATACAATAAAAGAACAAACTAATCTAGAATCATTAAAAATATAAATGGTATTGTTATCTGATGTCTGTCCCTGTGTTACTCACTAGGGGTAGGAATCATCAGGCTCCTCACGATATGCTAAGTATAGCGATACGATATACTGCAATATATTGCGCATATATATTGATATGATAGCATGATATATTGGATTCCAGTGTCTTTAACATGTGACAAAAGCCTTCGTTTTCCACAACGATGTACGGACACAGGTCTTTGCACATGAAGTAGGTGATGATTGAGTTATTTTCTTAGCTCGCTCAGTATTTGATGGTAGCTTTGCCAAGCTAATTTAGATTTGCAATATGAATAGCTTATATAATACAATATCGATACTTGGCATCCGTGTATCGATACCATATTGCCACACAAATACTATGCTACTACTATACTAATACTATTCTGTATCGATTATTTCTACCACCCCTATTACTCACCCTGGTACATGGCCTGAGCTCCGGTCCAGGCGAAGAGGCTGGTGAGTGCGTTGGCTCGGAGAAAGACCTCCACCTGATCGGACTGCTGCAGCCGGGCCATCCTGTCTCTCTGGTAGCGATCCGGCACCAGGTGGAACTGAGTGTGACCGTAGCAGGCCGGGTCCGGTAACTTCGCCCCTGTTGATGAGAACCAGAGGACAAGTTTAATGTAAACAGAGCACAGCTTGCAGAGAAAGGGTTAAGGAACAACACTAAAGGCTTCTATATTTTTCTCCAGGATGATCATTTTATAATTGTTTTGTAATTCTCCATCCATATTTGCGACTTAATCATGACCGCTGTTGTATGAAACAGACTGTTGGAATTTACTTTCGTCAGAGATGCAACAATTAGTTGATCTAGGTTTACGTCCATTGTAAGAACAATTGAAAATGTTTGATGGTTACAGCTAGTCAGTGGTTAGAATAAGCTGATTAAGTTTTTTTTCCTCCGTATTTGACATCTCCAAAAACAACCATCTCTTTAGAATAAATGACCCACACTTTGTCATTTTTGTTGACTGAACAGCTGCACGTTTGGGCCCCCTAGTGGCACCAGAAGTCACTGAATAATGAGAATGTTACTTATACTACAAAATGTAACCAACATACACTCATTATTTGTTCTTTTGGCTACTCTGAAATCACATCATGAAAAAGTGAGAAACGTTGGATGTGACTGCTCTCGTGTTACCTGTAAACATGTTGTTGTCATACTGCCTTCTGAACAGAGGCATGACGCTGGGAGACAAAGTGACCTCTTGAACTTCAGCAGCATAAGAGTCCTCCAGCGAGATGAACTAAGAGAAAGGAAAATTACAAATAAAATGGAAGCTGTTATTTATATGTTATTATGATGTGACACTGGTAGAAAACCTTGCTCTAGTTTGGTAGGATTCATGACAATTCAATATTGACAGACTTTGTATAACATACATTTCATAATGTGAGAATGATGTGTACCTGGGGCAGTTGTTCGGTTATCCTGATCTGACTATTTGGCCGGTCATCGATCTGGAATCTGGTTGGCTCTTGCCGACCTCTTCGATGTCCCTTTGGGATGATTGTCTGTCCCCTTCGCCAGTAGAAATGAACATTGGGATCAATATCTGATGGAGAAACACAGAAAATATGACTCAAAACGCGGTGTCTGTGGAAAATTAAAAAAGGTAAGAATGCACAATGATATTGCTATTTTAATCTAGAACTAGATACCAGGTAGGATCTATGGTCTATGTGTTGTCCTCATTTGAACTTTTGTAATATGTATATATCTGTTCAGTTCTACATCATTGTTAACTTCATAGGTGTTCTCTTATATTCAAATGATACATTTTCCCCTGTTAGCTAAGAATGTATTTCACTTGTGTAAGTTCTCAGCAGTTTGTGTGGCTTTTTTGTTGAATGAAAAAACATATTTTTACTGCTCATCTTTAGATATTGTATCAGTTCCAAAGTCAAGTAACATATTGTATCAGCAATAGTATTAAAACAAATTAAATAACACCTTGTTAAAGATGTACTGTATATGTATTTGTAAGCTTTACGCAGCACTTTTGGTGAGGTGCAGTACAAATTAGAACACATATTCCAAGCCACCAGGGCATAAAGAAGTTTCTGAGAGCGTTTGAGAAGATTGCACTAGAAAATGTTTGGCACTGCTGGTTGATGCCATGCAATGTTCCCATGATACACTAATTACTACAGCTCCCAGTTAACTTTAGTGAGTTAATATGTTCACCAAGAAAGTAGCAAGCATGTCACATTATTGGTGAAGGTGTTCATAACAACCTGCTACAATTGCTTAGTAAAGATTAGAATACAACTTTGTTTATTGGTCCACATATGAAACTAGCCACATTCACAGTGTTGCCACAAATTGAGTTTAAAGTGGATGCTAAAGCAGAGGAACTCTCCAAAGTTTGACTGGTGGCACAATAATGATCCGTACCCAGACTGGACGAGAGGAACAGTGGGTTGTATTTGGCCAGACTGAATGTGAGTCCAGTCACCAGGTTTCTCAGAAAAGGTCCAACCATCTGCTCCTGCTTTCTGTACAGGAAAGGTGCGCGGTTCCTCAATTGCCAGTGCTCCTGTAAAATCACACGAGTGACCAAGGAGCGGATCTCCGTGAACCCATCATGTCCAACCCCCGGCACTGTGGTCTGAGCAGCGGCCGGCTGCTCCTCCTCTCCCCCGGTCTCCCTCTCCGGGCTCAGGGTGTATTTCTCAGGCAGGCCGGGGATATATGCGGTCTTGGTGAAGTGCTGGTACCATGTGTCCGCGTTCCTTGCAAAAGTCTGAGGGTAAACCACAAATTTCATCCGCTGGATGCGAGTGATGAGAGAGAGCTTCTCCTCCACCGGAGAGGCACATATCTTCTGTACCTGCTCGTCAACCTGTCTCCCCCGGGCAGATTTGCTTTTAGCCGTGAGAGAGGGGATGATGGGCGGATACGCGGGCTCCTTGACGGCCGCCTCTGTGTGTGCAAGCCTTTGGTTCCTAAATGGAGGCAGGTTTTTAGGAAAGAGCAAGGGCAGACGTGTGCGGGCCGCCATGTTTCTTCAACGACTTCTTCTTTCGTTGACATAAGATCTAAGTTTCTCCCACAACAGCGCCCACTGCGGCACGAAAAGTAATAAACATGGGATTACCATACTGGAGAGTGTTTCATGTCTAACCTTGATATATACAGTCTATGGTCTAAACATCAACCCTATATATTAACTAATACAATAAAGCTCCATATTTTACTTTATTTTAGTTAGAGGCCATATTATGTGATTTACGTATACAGCTAAAGTTTGAAACTATACATTAGAAAACGTTAGAGCTCTTGAACCTACCCTTGAACAACTGAAACGCCCCCTTTGGACGCATTTAAAGATATCGTAATTTTGACATAAGCACACCATTATCATGGAAATAAGAAGAATAAAGAACGTAACTATACAGTACCAGGTGCAATATTTGGAGACAATAAGCAATTAAGTCATATGTAACAATTAATGAGGGGAAAATACAGCAAATTATGTTATAATTCCAACTGAGACAAGTCATATACCAGAGGTGATTCAGAAAGGGTAAACAAACGTGAAGGCAACACCAATGTACAGTAAAGAGTTGTAGTCTGTGAACAAGATTTTTTAAACTGTGCAGTGTTGTGTTAAAAAAGACACAAGATAAAGCTTGGAATATACTTCCGAAACAATACATTAGCTGGTTAGCTAAACATGTATTTTCGTCAGATTTTGCGGACGCAGTTACACGGGACGAGAACGGTCCAACTCCACCGCTTGGACCGTGTTTGTCGAGCCGAGGTAGCTGCTCTGAAAATAATCCATCTCATTCTCATAAACATTTTATTTTCCTCGTGTGCAGCTTTGCATTTTGAAAACGATTGTCCTACCAGCCCTGGTGGTGTCTGTGGGGATTCTGCAGTGCCCCACCACCAAGAGGTTTGGTGAACTGTGCCCCCCAGAATTTGTGCTGTTTGTATGCTAGCATCCGTTTTTCAGATCACAGGTGTGTGATGTGTCTTTCTGACCTCCAGAGACCACTGTGCACAAAGAGTGACGAGGTGAGGCTAGCAGAGGAGGCCAGCAACAAGTATGGCTCCCCAGCTCCAACCATCTTCTCTAAAGTGATCGACAAAAGCATCCCTGCAGATATCATTTATGAAGATGAGAAGGTAAACAAAACAAACCATGTTATCATGTTGGCCTGTTCCACGTGGAAACCACTGATCAATCAGCAGCTTGTTGAGGTTAAGAAGTTGTGCAACCAAACACTTAATTAATGTTGTTTTTGTGTGTTTATCAGTGTTTGGCATTCAGGGATATCAGCCCAAAGGCACCTGTTCACTTCCTTGTTATACCAAGGGTCCCTATTCCCAGAATAAGTGAGGCCAAAGATGATGATGCTGAGGTAATGTTATTCCATCAATTTGCTCAACCTGCCACTCCTGTTTAGGGATTGTGAGTGAGATTTGGAATACAACTACATCCACATTCACAATATATGGATGGCATATTTTCATTCTTACACTCTTTGTATGTATTTTCATTTATACTACTGCCTTTTTTTTAAAGGGACATATTTAGGAGCCTTACTGCAGGGATTTCCCCACGCATCAGACACAAGAGAGTTAGTGAAGATGGACATTAATGTTGGGCAATAAGGCCTTCTCTGAGTTTGGTTTAAATTCTTACAACTTTATCTTACCCCAAACAATTAAGAATAGTTCCAGACCAGAAGTTATTGAGACATACGTGACAGGTATGTAAATATACTTACACTTAGAGCTCACACACATTTTGTAACATAAATCCAATATGCCTTATATGTCTCCTGCATTATTTAATTTATTAACTGTCAGTGAAATGCATTACCATAGTCAAAACCTAATATGAAAGTGTAGCAAGACAATTTAATTGATTTAGTACATTTAAATACAGGTAAATCTGACATGTTACACATTAAAATGCAAAGAGCAAGAATGTAGTACTCTGAATACATTTTTGCTCCAAAGGGTCCTTTAGTAACAACACCCGAAATGTTTAATCTTTAAAACATACATTATTATATTATGCACCCCTATGAAAACCATGTCTCTAACTCAAATTCAATTTCAGCTCTTAGGACATTTGTTGATTGTTGCCAAAACCGTGGCGAAGCAAGAATCTCTAACTGAAGGCTACAGAGTTGGTAGGTGACAGTTACACCTATAATATATACAGGCTGCTTAGTGAAGTATTAACAAAATTCTGGGTATCTTTCTGCCATACAGTGATCAACGATGGAAAGCACGGTGCTCAGTCAGTTTACCACCTTCACCTCCACGTCCTGGGAGGAAGACAGTTGGCGTGGCCACCAGGATAATGGCGACATGTATGACTTGATATATGATGGGTGTAGGTCATATTCTCTTCCCATCCTTCTGTACAAAAAGTAAATTCAGCACAAATAATTGTTTAATGGACTAATTCAAAAGTGAATACATGATAATATGGCTGCAAATAAAGACATTATTAATGTGGAATGGCAAAAGGTCAATTTGGTTATTTTATCTTTCAGTCGGTGGAAAAACAACAAATTGTCAGCAGATTATACTACCACTACCAGTTACAGGTGTAATCTTAACAGCAATATTATCAGGTCTTTTTTATCAGTGGAACACATTTCACTTCTTGCTAGATTTATCCCTGTCTCTGGTCAGACAACATACATTCAAGTGGCCATAGACATCATTTTGCTTATGAATTGGATATTGATTGCCCAAGTGAATGGCTGTAGAATGGCGTTTACATTAGTTCCCTGTAAATCTTGCGTTTAGGGTGCGATTTGTCACAATAAAAGCTTCAGACATATTAACCGTTATGTGTTTTGCTTGTTTGCACCGGCGGAAAGTGAGTAACCTACTGAATTCTACTTTACACTGGGCACTTTGTGAGGTTTACTAGGAAAATACAATACTTTGTCATTTCCACTTCATATTGCCACAGTCGTTTTGCAAGTGGTCTGAACTTTGGATTTGCAGAGAAATTTTGACCAAAGTTATCTTGAAAACTAGAGGCCAGAGAGAGTCCGCTGGGACGACAGATCTTAATCTTATCAATTTTAATTACCGTACACATTTAAAATGACTTATCAGTAAATGTGTTGCTTTATTGCAGTATTGGAATGTACATTGACTCAAAGTACGATAACTCACAAAAATAGAAAACAGACAAAGATTTTACAAACAGATTATGAAATCACTTTATAAAATATGATACTGTGCTGTAGGTTAAACTTTCCAACATAATGCAAAATGATTCAAATGGGCTCCACATCAGCTGGAACATTGAAAGGCTTTAAAGCATCAGTGATAGATTATGTATTCTAATATCTTGTTCTCACTGGAGAACCTTTTGACACGGAGAACCCTGTTTTCTTTGTGTGCAGTCTACTTTTCTGGTGATTCATGCCCTCAGTTACCATTCACACCCTTCACAGATGGCATGTGCCGAGATATGAGCAGTGAGGGTCGGAGCAGGGACACATATGGTGTGACTGAGTGGGATGATTCACTGACCCCGGTGCCTGTGAGCAAGGTGACTATGGATCACTTGGGAAATGGACGGTTGAACTTTCCTCTATGTTTACTTATGAAATATCCTTGAACGCAGTTATCAGACAGACTGATATGAAGCTCAGCAAGAGGAGAGGAAATCAGGGCTGTAGTGAAACGTGACCAGAATAGATTTTTGGACATTTGAAACCGCTTTCATCCAGTAGGAATAATTGGATGGCGTTAGAAAAGTGGAAGAATAAAAGGAGATTTTAAGAAAGTCAAGATATCAGCACATTTCTTGAATATTTTGTGCATTTTAGTGTGTGCTGCTGTCATCTTGACAGTTCTCTCTTGATTTGTAAGAAAAAGTTGAAGTTGCACACATGTGGTTCAGCTGTTGAGTAACTTTTTGATGGTCCAAAGTCTAAAGTATTTTCATAAACGGAGAGAACTTATCTAGTTGTATCATTATTTCTCTGACAGGCCTGGTCCTGCATATCTGATAATAACTTGTCTTCATAAATCGATTTGGGATGATAAAGGTTTCAATAAAATCTGCTCTAAACTGTCAAATGTTTTGAACCGTCACTAACACCAACAGTTAGCTGGTCTAATCATTACAAACAGCAGGTTTCTACCAGCTGCAGACTGTTTGTGTCTGAGGTGACGGGTCGTCTTCACCTTGGGCCATAACCTATGATAAAGCATATTGGTGGATCTTTAACCGGTGGACCCAGCTTCAGCGGCAGATTCCAGAGGATTGCGAAAGTGTGCAAAGCTCTGGACGAGGCATTAGTGCGTGGGAAGTTGGTATGCATTCATGCAAGTCCACTATAGGCTGATATTCTCTCCAGGGGGCAACAGACGAAGCCTGTGCCGGGCAAAGGTTGATTTCAGTCTGTTCTGCACTTGACAGCTACTGTCAATCAGCTCTCTGCCAGGAGAAGGTAAGGGACATTTAAGCATATTTATTTTTTTATTTTTAGAGTCTGAAAAGTCTTATGTCAGGTGTGTTTTGTTGTAATAAGTTGCTATGGGGACTAGCTTTCCTGTATGAGGATGATGCACACAAAACATTATTTTACTGACATGGTACACCTCTTTTTGCTTAAGCTGACATCAGTTTAATTGCAGAACACAATAAACACATATCTTGATTACATTTATGATTTTAAGGCTGAGAAATATGCACGCACTTGTAATTGTTGACATGTTGAGGGAAGTCATGTTTGTGACAAACACATGACTAACATAGGGAATATCCCTCATTTGATGTGGGCAGGCTGCCAAGCTTTTAATTGTTTGGTCAACGAAAATGTTTCTTTACTGTAAATCACTCTCCCAATAAGATGTGCTCTATAAAAGCTAGACAAGCAGCTACAAGCATTAATTGTTTTATCCAAGGCTTATAGTCACTATACTGTACCTCGGTGACTACTTTTGACGTTTTCCTATGGGACTATAGGACTTCTTCTATACATTTTTACCAAAAGATTCAATATAACACTCAGTGTTCTTCAATGGTTACATCTGCTTTCTGGGTAACGTACATATCCAAGTTGTTAATGGAACTGAAATCTACTTTGCAGGGAATTTGAATTGATATTTGCAGAATATTAGACTTTGCCGTTGCCATTTCATATTGCCACACTGTAGTTTTGAACTTTGGTCCAAAGACATTTTTGACCAAAGTTATCTCCAAAACTAGAGGCCAGAGAGAGAATCTGCTGGGTTGACAGATCTTAATCCAAAATGATTTTTATGCCATATATAATTAGAGAATGTGTCGCTAATTTGCAGTGATGAAAAGTAACTGAGCACATTTACTTAAGTGCTGTTATTAATCACATCATTGAGTTAGGTAATTCAATTGTATGCTACTTTCTACTTCAACTCTGCTAGATTTCTGGATTATTGTACTTTTTATTTCACTTCATTTATCTGACAACGGGAATTATAAGTTATTTTTACAGATTTCAACATAATGATCAATTTATAAAATGGTATTCTGCTTAGATTTAACTTTTTTTTGTGTAGAATAAATAATCTTAACAGTATGTAAGGTCATTAAAACGTGTTCCAGCTATTACATATTTACATGCTGCCTATGTGGTAAAGCATCAGTATTGATATGTGATATACATTATTACAATAATACGGTATATCTAATAACCAAACTCTCTGAAAGGAACCATTCTGTGTACATTTGCTGTTAATATTGGTTGTACTTTAAATTAAGGGAAATCTTTAATGTATGACTTTTACTTGGAAAGAGTGTTTGAATTGATTGAATTCTTTACACAGTTAAGTTATTAGAAGGAACAACTTGAGATCTTACACAGTAGTTGATAGGTTTACACACTAGATGGCATTATTTCACAGTCCACACAAGGAACCCCTGAAGCCATGATCATGTATTTTCTACAATATTCACATGTCATTACATACTATTTTTCACCTAAAATTGTATTAACCAGTGATGTCGGAGATACAGCAACAGCATATTGTGGTGTAGTGTGGGTATTTGGGTCAAAGGGTAGTCTACTATATCGAATGCATGCAGATGTCCTGCAATGCATTCTGACACAATATTCAGAGTTTGGACATTTTGCAATTGCAGTCTCTTGCTCTGACCCATTGTTGCAATGACTTTGGTGTCAGTCTTGTATAAATTACCAGAGCAGTTCAGTTTCATTAAAGATATTCTGATCTGCTTGGAGTAAAGGGTCTTAATGCTCATTTGTTTTTGGTCGTCCTAAGACTGTTTTGTCTATTATTCCAGCAACTACAAGATGAGTGTCCAAGAGGATTCGGTTAAGAGCAATGGTGTCGCGGTCATGGCTGAGAGGTATGTAAAATAATGCATGTCCCAAAGAAAATAAATCTATCATGTAGATTTTATAGGGCAATTTGATTTTAAACTATGTTTCTAAAAATATTGTTCATCTACAGCAGCTGTACTCAGAAGGCTATGTCAGACACAGACTTAAAGATGAACTCCACTCTGAACGGAGAAGCCATCACTTCCGAGCTCAGCTCAATGTCCAAGCTGGAGGAAGCCACTGAAGGACTTTCACTAGGTGAGAGTCTCACTAATCTAATGCATTTGTACTATATACTGCATCACTAATAGTGCTGTCTTTTATTGTGACATTCTGATTATCTTTAAAAGCGACTGATGAGATCTGAAAAGGCAGTATAACTCTTAAATCAAACACTAATGTCTTGAAACCTATGCAACCTGTGAAAGGGGATATTGAATAGACATTAAGTCTAAAAAAAGGTAAAAAGCCAAAAGAGTCACTGTATTAGCAGCTGCATTAAGGGTAGATTTTGTGAGATATGTGTTCATTGTGTTCTAAACTTAAACAAACAGGACAATATGGGAATGCACAAAGTCTGTTTGGTGCCTAACCCTTCCAGCAGCATTCTGCAGGTGCTAAGAGGTGTGGTGTAGCCTCAGATAACACTTGAACATAAGAATGACCCTCATTTCTAGCTTCAGGGTAGGATTGAGCAAAAATAGTTTTTTGCAGTTTGTATATCTGATAGGCTCTCAAACAGTCATAACATGTTAGGTCCCTAGAATCTAAAGGGAAATAGCAACATGTGCTTGTGGATAATATAACTAAAGAAAAGGGATCAATACAAAATAAGACGATAATAATAATAATAACTTGAATTTATATAGCGCCTTTCATAACCTCAAGGTCGCTTTACAAAGAAATATACAAGGACAAGACATAAAACATAAACATAAAACAGGGGGCAGAAATGGAAGCGTAAGGGGGGGGAGTGAGTTATTGTTGGAAGGCGATGTTGAACAGATGAGTTTTAAGGGTTGATTTGAAGATGTTGAGAGAAGGGGCGTTGCGGATTTCTGCAGGGAGGGAGTTACAGAGGGTGGGGGCAGCGACACTGAAGGCACGGTCCCCGAAGGTGCGGAGGCGTGAATGGGGAATGGAGAGCAGGCCAGAGTCTGAGGATCGAAGGGTGCGGGACGGGATGTATGGGTGGAGGAGATCTGTGAGGTATTGAGGGGAGAGGGCATGGAGGGATTTGTAGGTGAGGAAGAGGAGTTTGTAAGTGATGCGGGACTTGACCGGGAGTCAGTTGAAGAGATTAAATTAAGTTTCAGTGTAAATATAAGGTGGGAAGTAACTAAGTACATTTACCCAAGTATTTAAGTACAATTTTGAGAGACTTGTAGGGGAGACCAGGGACAGTTTTAACACTTTTTGGGTTTTCCCCAATAGGTAAAAAGCCATTTACACTAGGATAGCCATTTTGCTATATTATACATTCTCAATGTGTCAACTACTGAAACA